TTCTCCTTACCATCTATATCTATATATTCATATATTATATTTTTCTCAATTTTATACATTGAAACAGTATATCTTTCCATATCTTTTTGGTACCTCCATATCTTCTGAAAATACTTTAAATTCTCTCGTAGATTTCAACATCATACTAATATTAATTTTTTTGCATTGTGTTATGCATTTACAGGCAAACTTAATATATGTATCTATCTTCATTTTTTTAAAATTGATGTTTTTTTCACATTGTTTTATGCTTTTATTATTATTTTTGCGTTCATTTCCCCTTTATTATCACATCTTGTCTTCATATATATAATATATTCTTTCTTAAATTCATTTCTATATTAGTAGTTTATTTTTTTTTTTATCACTCTATCGCTGACTCTCACATTGCTATTACTCTTTTTTAATTATTAGTTGTATATATATCTATCTTTATATATATATATATATATATATATATTTATTTATTTTTTACCTGTTTTCTCTGAGGGCAGAATAAAGTTTGATCTGATAAAATTTTTAACATGAATTTTCTTTTACATCTAGGGTATGTATGAGGAATCAATACCGTACTATGTACGAGCACTCACAATGAATCCCAAGGCAGATAATGCCTGGCAGTATCTGAGAATTTCATTAAGGTAAGCTGGTGAATTAGGAGATTTGTTGTGTAGTTTAGAAGATAAGATGAGAAATGGAGTGCGTATGTTAGTTATTCATCTTTTTCTTCTTTCTCTTGCAGCTGTGCATCAAGGAATGACATGATGGAAGCTTGTGATGCCAGGAATCTCGACCTCCTTAACAAGGAGTTTCCACTATAACTAGATCTCAAGCCATGCTTCCCCTACTCCGCAAGGAGTTTCAGCTGTACTTAGATTTCAGGCCGCGCTACTTGCAGTTCTTCTATATATATATTTTAAAAATTTACTAATTATAAATTTTTATAATAATAATTAATTATAAATTTACCTTTAAGTATTTTTTTCGATAATTAATAATTTTAAAT